CACAGGTTGATGGTTCGAATCCACTAGTCTCTCCCCTGGAGAAGTGACAGTGTGCTTTTGAAAAGATTTACAGACTTACTGGACAAGTTAATGTCAAGTATAGTTGCCACCAAGACTCAGAAACCCCCCAATCTCTTGTTTGTTGTTAGAAAACAGTCAAAGGGAGCACAGACATGCTTCTGCCTTACTTTCATTCACCATATCACAGGAGTAGGCATCTACTTGATGGAACTTGATTCATATCGAGATCCCTAGCAGCAAGGGAATCTAGAAAATAAGAGTTGTTGCTTTCCAATCTCTGCAATACAATAAGGCAGTGTTTCTCTCCTTAAAGAAGTAGCATCAGAATCACCTGGGAATTTTTGAGAAATACAAATTATCCACCATACCCTAGATTTATTAAAGCAGGAACTCTGAGAATGTGCCCAGTTATCTGCTATAACAAGGCCCTCAGGTGATTCTGATGAATTTCGAAGTTTGAGAACCACTGCAATAAGGCAAACTCGAAAAATTAGGGGAAAAAAAATTAATAATGCTCAGAGTCAGTCAAGAAATATGCCAAGAATATGGTGGTGATGGTGGTGTGCCGTGGTCTGTTCCAGGTCATAGCGACCCTGCATAGGGTTTCTGAGGCTGTAAATCTTTATAGGAGCAGAAAGCATCATCTTTCCCCCACAAAACAGCTAGTAGTTTCGAATGCTGACCTTGAGGTTAGTTAGCATCCCAACATGTAACCACTATACTATCAGAGCTCCTTACCATACCATATAAGTGGCCCAAAGTTTTTACAGATAATTTAAAAAAATGTTTTGTTTTTAAAAAATGTTTTTTCAATGTTGTGCATTTTTAAGAAAATAAAATGGAGATTCTAATATAATCATTACCTTAAGAAAATATATATATATTTACAGTCTTGGAAACCCATGCATAGCATTCTTCTTGGTCGTCTAGGGTTGCTATGAGTTGGTCAGTTCACCAGGAGTGTTGGTGGGCTGGGCCAGGGCCTTGCCAGAGACCTCTCTATGGCCTGAAGTCCCTCCTGTCTTCATCAGTTTCTGTCAGTGCTGACCTTCATCAGCTCTGATTTTTCCTCTGTGTACGCTCACCCTATGGCTCCGTCTTGTCCATGGGATTTTGTGAGAAGCCGTCAAAATCCTTGCTGACTCCAGATGCCCAGCATTTAAAATGGTTTTCCCTTGATACACCAGCTTAATAACCCTGTCAAAAAAAGAATCGTGCTGTTTCCAATAGTGCTGGCCCCTGGGACTCCCTACTTCCTTTTTCTAAGTGCTTACAGACCCTCTCTTTACTAACCCACTCCAGAATTGTACCAGGGATCATTGTTAAGCTTGACGTCTGCTCAGTATAAGAACACAGTAGCGTTTGTCCATCTACACTTGTGATATCCCTCCCACTTTCCACATCAGTGTAGCTGCTGGTGGAGCAGTTATGTAATTGCTGCAGGTTGTTTTGGCACCCATAGCCGGAATGAAGCTGAGTGGGGAACCTGAGGTCAACTGGCAGGCCTCATGTTCCGCTCCAGCTTCCCTCGACTGGGGATGTGGGCCCTTCTCCCTGCCTGAAAAGATGGAACACTGCTCTGTTGGGTGTCACCGCTGTCGTTAGGACGCTGTCCCATTTTTCTCCCTGAGTATTGTTGCCACCCGCAGCCCCACTGCCTCGCTCCTGCCCATGATGAGCCAGGAGTAATCAGGGCAGACATCACTAGAGGATGGACAACCCTGGATTATGAGGTTGGTTGACTGGCTGCATTCTCTAGGAGGCCAAAACCTTCTAGAGTTGGTGGGACGTGGGTATGGGAAGGTTGGGCCGGATTCCTGACTGTTGTTCTACTTTAACTTTTAGCGACATCAAAGTTCCCTGGCCCCCCCTCTCACCAGATTCTCCTGCCTCACCCCATGAACTAAGCTTACAACTCTGTCTCCACAATGTTTCTCGTGCCTCACATGTGTGCTCATACTTGCCAGGAGAATGCAGAGACGTGGTCACTCTGAATGGAGGCCATCCTGGTCATGGGCAGGGCTGGGGTGCCCGGAGGTAGGGGGTGCTGGAGGGCGATTATTAAAGAACCATCCTAGCCCATGACTCAGAGTTGGCTTTGCAGTGGGGACAAACTAGCTGTTACTGAAAATTGTAGAAACTCTTAAGTGAGGCACATGGGGTATAGTCATTCCCTAACCATCCAGAGAGCCCCTCCCAGGCACTGGGAACACTGCCACCGGGCCAGTATCAGGGTCAGGTGGTACTGAGCTTTGTCCCATGTAGATCATAGATGCATCATGTCAGGTGGTATGTGAAGGAAAAGTCAAGCCAGGGTAAGGGGCTAAGAAGGGCCAGGTGCATTTTGACATTCTGTGGCCCAGAAGGCTGTGCTGAGAAGGCAACTCAGAGAAGTGAAGAGTACCCAGGAGACAGAAGGGTCTTCTACTTGATGCAAAGGCCACAAGACCAGAGTGCACTGGGCATATACAGGGAGTTGCAATGTGGCTGGTGTTGCTGGAGCCCACTGATCACAGGGAACCAGGTAGCAGAGCGTGCATTTACTCGCATACACGTTTTATAATGTGTAGGGACAGTTTCTTGTGAACTAGCCTCTCTGAGCTCCTGGTTCAGAGAAAAGCACTACTTCAGTGATGAGTTGTGAGGAGTGTCTAGAATGCTTTGCAATCTGTAAACAGCTGTGTGTGTAAATAGTAATGATTCTGACCCTCTGCTTGCTCCTGCTTGAGGCTGTAAACTCCTGGAGGACAGGAACCATGTCCCTCAAATGGCCTGGCCAGCCACCAACTCAGGGTCAGGTGGTTGGATGGACCTTGAAGATTTCCAAGAACAGATCCGTTTCTTCCAGTTGTCTGTGGAAGCAGGAATGAGCAGGAAGCTGCAGGGGCTCAGGGTGCAGCCCCCAGCCTCTGTGATCTTTTCTGTGGCAGGATTTCCCAGCGTGTAGAACTGAGCCGAAACCAGCTACAGGCTATTGGTGAGAGGGTCTCTTTGGCCCAGGCCAAGATTGAGAAGATCAAGGGCAGCAAGAAGGCCATCAAGGTAGCTCATATGACCCTGTTTCCCCATGACTGGTGGGCAGGTCTGGAAATCCCACTCCCCGCCATTTCCCCAGGCCCCTGGCCTGCTGTCCAGCCCTACCTCAGGTTTCCCTCGAAACCCCAGGCCCTCTAGGTCTTTTCAGGCCCCCTGAGGAAGAGGATCTCAGATGTCCCTGTGTGCACAGGTGTTCTCCAGTGCCAAGTACCCAGCCCCAGAGCACCTGAGGGAGTACGGCTCCATCTTCACAGGGGCTCAGGACCCTGGCCTCCAGAGACGCCCCAGGCACAGGATCCAGAGCAAGCACCGGCCCTTGGATGAGCGGACCCTTCAGGTCTGACACACCCACGCCCACTGTGGATAGGGATGACAGTGGAAGCCCTGGCTGGTGGGGAAGAGCTGAGGGCAATCAGACTCAGGAGGAGTTTGCGCGGTGAGGAGGTTGGCTTGCCACTGAGATCCACCACTCTCATCACTCTCTTCCCCCAGGAGAAGCTGAAGTACTTCCCTGTGTGTGTGAACACCAAGCCGGAGCCTGAAGACGAGGCTGAGGAGGGCCTGGGGGGTCTTCCCAGCAACATCAGCTCTGTCAGCTCCTTGCTACTCTTCAACACCACCGAGAACCTGTACGGCCAGAGGGCGGGGTGCAGCAGGGTGGGGGAGGCTGGGCAAACAGGCACTGGCCAGTGCGGTTCATCACAATACAAACTAACTGTAGCCCCTGGTGAAGTGGAGACATGGACCAGGAGCATGGGTTACCTGACCTCCACTCCACCCCGGCAGGTACAAAAAGTATGTCTTCCTGGACCCCCTGGCTGGTGCTGTTACAAAGACCCATGTGATGCTGGGGGCAGAGACAGAGGAGAAGCTGTTCGATGCCCCTTTGTCCATCAGCAGGAGAGAGCAGCTGGAGCAACAGGTAGAGCCCACTGAGGCTTGGGGGCTGGGGGAGGTGGTAGCCAGCATGCCGGCTCCCAACCACCCCAAGACCACACTTCCAAGGCCTGCAGCCCTGCCCATATCACTTTTCTGTGTCCTACCTAATCCTATAGGCTCCAGAAAACTACTTCTATGTGCCTGACCTGGGGCAAGTACCCGAGATTGACGTGCCATCCTACCTGCCTGACCTGCCTGGCATTGCCGATGACCTCATGTACAGTGCTGATCTGGGCCCCGGCATTGCCCCCTCTGCCCCTGGCACCATTCCAGAACTGCCCACCTTCCACACAGAAGTAGCTGAGCCATTCAAGCCAGGTGAGCTGACAGCCAGGATGGGAGCTTCCCCCTCCCTTCCTTCCCTAGGCACCTCACACTTGCTCACACTTCTATTTCAGACCTAGAAGATGGAGTGCTAACAGCACCCCCGCCTCCTCCACCCCCACCGCCACCCCCTCCAGCTCCTGCAGTGCTGGTCAGCTTACCCCCACCCCCACCCCAGACTGTGGCCCCTCCAAGCCAGAGCTCCCAGGAGGATGGTGGGAGCAGCATGTCCCCTTCAGGTAAGGGCAACACCAGGGTGGGGTGAGGTTGTCTTTCAGGGACCTGAACTTCATATTGTTTAATTTCAGCATCCTTAAAGGATTATTTTAGGTATGTGGTCATAAATCCTTGATTTTCAGAGTATTTCTAATTTCAAATGTCTCAGTCCATTGTTAAGTGCTATCAAGTCGGTTTCAACTCATAGCAACCCTGTATAGAGTTTCTAAGGACATCTGCTGAGTTTGAACCACTGACCTTGCAGTCCAGTGCATTATCCTGCAGCGCCACACCAAGACTCCATTGGTGACGGTGGTTCTGACTCAGGGCAACCCTGTACAGGGTTTCCAAGGCTGTAAATCTTTACGGGGACAGAAAGCCTCATCTTTCTCCCACTGAATAGCTGGTAGTTTTGAACTGCTGACCTTGAGGTCCTAACCACTACACTACTGGAGCTCCTTTTAGGTTCATAAAATAGTGGTTCTCAGAATCTCCCAGTCTGCCTCTGGCACCCAGAAGTGGTACAGGTATCCCTTGTTGGACCATGTGTTCAGATAAGTCATCAGAACACAAGTCACCCACACAAGTGTCCACCTTAGCAGGCTGAGGTTGGAGAGGGACAGGGAGGGTCTGGACATGTGAACTTCCTGAGCTCAGGCAGAGGGAATCTCCAGAATCCATTCCCTTCCCAGTGGCAGACTTCAGCCAGGCTCCGACTGTCTTCCTCTTTCAAGACGGAGAAACCATTCCTCACAAGTCAGGCTCTTGAGGTGAAGGCTCTGGATCTATCTAACAAGTTTCACATGACAGTCCAGGCTGGGCAAAACTGTCCTACGGTTTAGCCCTGCCTGAGCAGCTTTTCCATGCCCCAACCCCAGCCCCAGTCCAGGGAGCCCCCAAGGAAGTGGTTGACCCCTCCAGTGGTCGGGCCACATTGCTGGAGTCCATCCGCCAGGCTGGGGGCATCGGCAAGGCTAAGCTACGCAGCGTCAAGGAGCGTAAGCTGGAGAAAAAGAAGCAGAAGGAGCAGGAACAAGGTGAGAGGGTCTAGGTCCACTCTGTAGGAGAGCTCCAAACAAAGGGGTCACCTTTTAACCACCACCAGTCCATCAGGGTGCTGTCCAGTCCCAGAAGCATGAGACAGCTGACACCCAGCAAGCCTGCCAAAATCCCTCGGTGCCCATCCCTGTTACCTGACAGCTTTATTCCTCCTGCCTAGGCCTTGGGTTTTAGAACAACTTAGTAGAGCTTTCCTAAGCTGATCGTGGACAGCCTCCTTGGCTCAGACAAGACAGTTTCTCAGGCTCTGTCGAGAGTTGTCTAATAACAGAGACCTGAGGTATTTTTAGGAAAGACAAGACATAGAGGGTAGCTTAGTCCTATGTGAGTCTCTTGATTCTACAGGTGAGTCCTAGTCACCAGTCCTGAGTATGTGTCCCAGCCCTGCTTCTGACTGTCCCGGTGCCCCCTCGAATGGCTGGACCACTTCCCTCATCTGTAGAGTAGGACTGCTCATCCTTGCCCTTTTGTCCCACAGGGTGGCGCTGGGAGGAGGGGAGGGAGACAGTGAACAGAAAGGGTATACAGGACCAAGTCCTGAGGATGCTGCCCCAAGGGTGGACATCCTGTTGGCCCCTGTGCCACCCTCCATCCTTACCCATGCCTTTGCTGTTGTAGTCAGAGCCACGAGCCAGGGTGGGGACCTGATGTCGGATCTCTTCAACAAGCTGGTCATGAGGCGCAAAGGTAGGATGCAGGCGCAGAGGGTCTTGGGATATTTGCTGCATGTATCTTCTTTTCCATTGGTCTCTTGGGTTGGGTGAACTGTGGCCTCAGACCAACCACCTTTTCCCTGTCAGGTATCTCGGGGAAAGGACCTGGGATAGGGGCCAGTGAGGGGCCAGGAGGAGCCTTCGCCAGGATGTCAGACTCCATCCCTCCTCTGCCTCCACCACAGCAGCCACCAGGAGAGGAGGATGATGATGACTGGGAATCCTAGGGGGGCCCACCCAGCCACCCCCATTACTTCCCCTAAAGATGTAGGCTGCTGCCAAGACTGAAATGGCCAGGGTGTTTCTCAGTACCTGGCACCCTGGGGACACGGGAAGCAGTCCTCTGCAGCCCACTGGCTGGGGCAGGGCTGAGCTTGGGGTGTGTATTATTAGTGCTCCCAAAGAAACCTACAGCGGTAACATGAACCAATAAAGTACAATAAAGAAAGTAAGTACACTTTTAATTCAGGAACTGTCCTGTGCAAATAGGTCCCCAAAGCCAGTGGCTGCTCCCCTGCTGGTCTCTAAGCCATGGGGACAGAACACCCAAGTGGCAAAGGTCTCCTGAGCTAGGGAGGGACAGGTTACCAGGGTGGTTGTTGCAAAATGGGAGGGGGAGTTTCACACAGGAAAAAAAAGTCTCAGTGACAGACACAGGGTCTCTAAAAATAGTCCTGAGAGCCTAGTGGCCGTGGCATGACTGCTGATGTCAGGAGAGGAGGTGTCTTGGAGTTTGCTTGAGTGGTTGAGGGGGAGGGCGGGTGCCAGCAACTTGCAGGAACTGGAGCAGAGCCAGGGAGACAAATATTGTGGAGAGCTATGGAACAGGTTAGGGGAGAGGGCTGCCTAAGGAAGTGAGGCCCCACTGTTGGACAAGGTGGGCAAAGGCTCCTTCCTCAGAAGGCAGGCAGCTGAGGTGACAAGCACCTCCTTGGCAGGAAACAGTAGAGAATGAGAAGTTCTTAGTTCAGGATGAGGCAGGGTCAGAGGTCTACACCAGTGCATTTTAGTGAGAAAAGAGTAGAGATGAGATCGGGCTGCTTCTTCATACCTCACCTCCTCCTGGAAGGTGGGTTCTGAGGGACCAGGAGACGACAGATAATACAGTCATGGCTTCAAGCAGGCAAGTAACTTCAGGAGGGGGGCTGTCCTGGAATGGGCCCAAAGATGGCCAGCACTTACAGTTTCTTAAGAATTTGTCCAAAGTTTTCTCCTGTTGGCTTTTCTAAATCCTATGCCTGGATCCTTGCAGCCCACTGATTTCATAAGGCGGGTGGTCTGACACCACACTCATCTCATCCTGGGTTTCACCTTAAGCAGGATCCCTGAAGACCAGACCAGGCCCAAGACAACGTTTCTCGTGGACTAGGAAGAGGAAGAGCCTGGTAACCAAGGGTGGCGTGCCGTCATCTGTCAGGAAAGGCTAGACTTTTCACGATGAAACTGCAGAGATACAGTTCAATGAGCAACTACATTCTAGGGGCAGGAGGAGGCCCCCAGTAAGGGAAAGTCAGAACTACCTTGCGCAAAGCAGCAAAAGCAGGGCCAAAGGTGACTTTGACCTCCACGCGGTCTCGGATCCAGGCTGGCAGCTTTGCCAAGGTAGGCGGGCGGGCATAACGCTGGTCCAGGAGCACAATGCTGGCAAAATCCTTCTGATGCCTGATGGCCCTGCCTGGTGGGGAGCAGAGACCACAGGTCTGAGTTAAGCCTGCCTCCGTGACAGTACACTTCTATTGTCTCCTTAGTCCTCGGCCCCTAGATTACAGATGACAAGTCCTCTACCCATCACCTCCTCACTCTCTAGCCAGCCATCTCTGAATGGCCAGAAGAGCTCCAGCTTACCTACAGACTGGTTGACGGCCTTCATGCACAGATTCTCCACCAAGGCCTTCCCTGGAGGGACCTGACCGGGACTTCTGGGCTGGGAAGGGTGAAGGACATGACCTATCAGGACAGTTTCTTATCTCCTGCCTGTGCCCCAGTTCCTCCTGAGAAAATGGCACTGCTAGGCTTCGGGGGCTGAATGCCAGCAGCTGATACACTAGGTGATATCATGGAGAAGACCAAGAGGTGCCTCCTATCCAGGCTATAAGACCTTGCTGTTTCAACCCAGGAGTGGCAGAACCCATCCTCTCCTGGCCTTATCCTTGTCCTTTGGGAAGCCGGAGGTACTCACAAGGGTCTGATCTAGGTAGGCCATCTTCTCTTGCAGCTCTGGAGACTTAATGTTGGGGTAAGGCATACCCACCATGACAACACACCTGGGGTGGAGGTACATGTGAGTGTAGATAGGACACCCCGGCTCAGGAGGAAAGACTGGTTCTACCAACCCTTCCCCAGTCCTTTCGCTGTGCTCGGGAGTTCGACCTCTCTCCCCTCATCTCCCTGCCACAGGAAAGTTTTTTTACAGCCAGGAGATCCAATGTAGGCTCATGAAGTGAGTCCTGATCAAGGTGGTTGTTGCTAGGTGACACTGAGTTGTTCCTGACTCAGAGTAACCCTATACACAACAGAATGAAACACTGCCCTGTGGCATCCTCACAACCGTTACACTAGAGCCCACTGCTTCCGTGCCCACCCATCTCCTTGGTCTTTCTCTTTTTGTCTGACTCTCCAGGGACTGGTCCCTCCTGATAGAGGCAGGTCTGTAAGGGGCAAACCCGGCATGGCTGAAACACTTCCCACACAACTGCTGGATCCTGAGTAGGGCGCCTGGGGCAGGCTCTGTAGATGATCCCCGTGTGCAGGTAGGGCCCAGGGTGAGAAAGGACCACCACTTACCGGCCTAGGTGGTCAGAGAAGTTGATCCCTTCACTCATCTTCCCCCCGACCACGGAGAGGAGCAGCGCCCCCGTTAATGTGCTGGATCCCTGGCTACAGCACTGCAGATATACCCAGGCCAAGTTGACAAGCTTAACTTGGAAGCCACCCAAATATTTTCAGCTGCCAACCCCTCATGTTCTCTGGACCCAAGGGCTCTCTGACCTTAATGCACTTGGAATATTCCATCAGCACCTGCTCCACCTGGTTTGCTCTCCTGGGTTCCTGAAATACCTAGTGATAAACAGATAGTATCTCCCAGAACAGGCTGCTGAAAGCCCGGGTGTTGGGAGAACCTCACGGTCAGAGGGCTCAGTAGCCAAGCGTTCGGAGGTGGTGAGGTGAGGAAGGAGCAAGAGCACCCAATTGGATGTATGTGAGAAATCCCAGAGATATTCTGGGTGCCACTGTCCTCAACAGTAGAGGCTCAGCAGAAGGACCACTCACCTTTTTCTTGATGGCCAGGCGGGACAGCAGGCCACTCTGTTCCCAGTGGGTGTGGACCTGGCGCAGGTATTCATAGGAGGGGAAAAAGCAGACTACCCCTCCAGGCACCACATTGCATAGATTACAGAGAATGCGACCTGTCTCCTCCATCTGTGACAGTAAGACAAGACATGCTGAAGCCTCGGGCTCAACACCAAGCACAGAGCCCCTGGGGTCACTCGGCAGGGGGAGGATTACAGGAAGGTGGCTCTACCAGGTGGGAATCCCCAAACACACCACAATGGTAACGACAGAAAACCTGCCATCGGTGCACCCAAGCCTCCCTTCTCCAATTCCCAATGTTCTTGATGGGCAGTTGGGGATCAAGCATCATCAATGACAAATCAGGGCCTGAAGACCCCAGGCATGCTCCCTGAGACTGGCATCTGTCCAGGGCCTGGGCTATACTGTCAAATGCCAAGAGAAACACAGCAATAGGACAGCTTTCTCAGGTCCTGAAGGGATGACCTGGAGTTTTTCAAGAAAACGTACATAGCAGCCTAAGTGGTGAAGGAAGTCGCGGCCTCCCTTGAGAAGCACCGAGGTCAGTGTCCATCCTGTGCTGGCTCTGAGATAGAAGCCCCCAGAACTGACTTTCTCTGCTGCCCCACTCCAGGGCCCTCAACTGCCCCAACACAGAACTGCAGGAGGGCACACTACTTGCTACTAACCATCTGAGGCAGCTCCCGTTTCTGGTATGTGAACTCTAGCTGCTGGTTGGAGGGCCCACTGCAGATGACGAGGGGCAAGATGCTGTCAGGGGGGATCACATGACCTGGTAAGATACCCAGTGAGGGATTCAATACTGGAGGTCCCAAATGTTCTACAAGATAAATTCCAAAAAGGGTCTCTCCCCAGCCCCATCTCCCAGAGTGGGAAGAGCAATTTGGATCACAACTCCAGCCTCTCTGTTTGCACAGTAAGCCTGGACAATGCTGAAAGCGGACTCATGTAGCTGGTAGGCAAGCATGGGAATACATGAATACCATGCTCACTCCACCCTGGACATGGACACTCACCACAAGAGAACTCCACCACACGCTCGGCTCCAACCCCAGCACAGGCCAGCAGCTGCTCCCGGAAGTCAGACACCTGCAGAGCACAACGTCAGGGTTTGTGCCCTCCCAGAGGGGCCTGAGGGCTAAGCAGATGGGGATGCTGAGGGGAGACAGAAGTCTTGAGCTCGGAGGTTGTATGTAAATACAATCTGAAGTCATCCAAGACCCCAGGTTTGACAAAAAAGGGAAAAAAAGCAAACTCTAAAATGGAAAACAAACTGCAACAAAAGGACCTACTGATTAAATCAACACCGTAAGCACCCAGAGAAAAGCCTAACCCCAGTGACTTTCCTTCCTTTGTTGTTAAGTGCCGTCAAGTGGATTCCAACTCATAGCGACCCTGTTTAGGGTTTCTGAGGAGTGGCTAGTAAGTTTGAACCACTGACCAGTGCTGATCCTACAGTGCCACCCCAGGACTCCTTAGTGACTACCTATGTGGGATCCTAAGGGCAAACAATAAATGTAGCAAAATAAAATTAAGTCAGTAGTTTCATTTTGTTAAGTACCATCGAGTCGATTTTGACTCATAACGACCCTGTATAGAATGTCCAAGGAACAGCTGGTGAGCTTGAACCACTGACCTTGCAGTTCAAACGACTTGGCAGTCTGACACATTAGCCCACAGCGCCATACCAGCTTGTCCCTGTTAGCAGTATATAAATCTGTTATTATAAATCGGAAACTATTTAAATAGGTTTCTGAGGAACAGTTGGTGAGCTTGAACCACCAGCCTTTCGGTCCAAGCCGACTTTGCGGTCCAGCTCCACACCAGGACTCCCAATAGATGACAGGGTAGAGCAAACAAATAACTATGCTAATGTAATATGAAACCAAAATGTATGAAACCACTTAAATGAAGAGAGATACAATATAATGTCACATAAACTGATTCTCTGATTTTGGTTTAAAAATATCAACCTGAATTCATGGTTTTTGAAACCACATGTCCTACATCTGTTTACTGAAAGGACCTGTAAACAAGAATTCAGGATCAATAGGAACACCCCAGCACCCAATTCATGGTTTCTAATTATCATTTTTCACTAAAAGCAATCAGAGCTCCTTAGAGAAATTATTGAGTCCAGATATGGGGCTAAGGAAGCATGAGGTAAGGCTGGAACATCTTGCTTTTTCAGGAATTCCACAAGAGAGCATTCAGAGACTAATGGGGCCGGCTCAAAGGACCTGCTGGTCAGCTTCAGGACCATCTGAGCGCCAAAATACTAGCAGCCCACTGTGAATCAGTTTAACTGAATGAATACATACCCAAGAGGGTAAGGGGCAAAAAAAACTCAAGAGGGGCGAGTCTCACACTGGCAGTCCAGGTCAGGAACCATTGGCTTTAAATTCTCAATAGCCTTTCACCCGTTCTAGGAGGTGACCAAGTAAAGAACCACTGTCCTGAGATTTGGCTATCTTCACCACAGTCTTATTTAAATAGAGAGAAAGTAGAAATAACCGAACTGTCTAAAAAAGAGGACTATTAAGTATAATCTACCCATGTAATGGATACATTACAGTCAAAGAATGTGTGTGGGGGGGGACAGATCCTCACTGATAAGGAAAAATATTTATGACACTTTGTTGCTGAGTGGAAATGAGCAAGTTCTAATAATACCTCCTTTTAAAATATGTATGTATATATGTAAAAATTATGCACAGGGAAAAGCTATTATAATGATGTACAGCAAAATGAATCTTTGGCTGATAGAATTATGAGCTTTTCCCTCTTGTTTTCGTTTGTCTCTGCTTCCTACAATCAAAATGTAATACGTTTCTAAATTTATTTATAGAAGGAGAAGGTTGGCACTTCTGTGGTGGGCGCAGGAAGGGAACGGGCACTGAGGGATCTAAATAAGAGTTTGGCACTACAGAATGGCTTGGTCTGGGAGAAGTGGAAGCCCCAAGTACAGGAATACTGTGGCAGTGGTGGTCTCCACACCCCCATACTGTCCCCCACCAGTTTAAAAGGCACAAGCAGGGAGACAGTGCAGCACTGCCATCTAGTGGACAATATGTGACCTGCTTAAGCCAGCCTTTTCCGGTCAGGGGGCCCACAGGACAGGGAAGAAGTGGGATGGTGTCTGGGGTCCTTACCGGTTGCATGGTGCCCCCTGCAATGACCACTGCCCGGCATTCCTTCACCACCTGGGCAAAATGCACAGCTGGATTCAGGAGCAAGAATTTGAGACTGCTCTGACTGAGGGTGCCTGAAGAAAGGACAGAAAGCTGACAGCTCCACAGGGAACTGGGGCGGGACAGTAGGGCATCTCCAGGTGCGTCCATGTAGGAGACACAAGATCTTATCACCCTCTTAAAATTAAATCTCCAGGACAAACCTATGAAGTGGGCAGAACTATCATCTCCATTTTCACATAAACAAACGGGTTCCCAGAGGGGAAGAAATTGGTCCAAATCACATAACTTGCAAGTGAGAGCGCCAAGATGCAAACCAAAACCCACCAACCCCAGAGCCCACAACCGAAGCCACTAAGCAATACTTTTCTCTCTTTTTTTCTTTTGAGAAGCTAGGAAAAGGTTCATTACTCACATACCAAGGCTTTCTGAGGCGTGCAGGGGCAGTAGGCTGGCTTGGGGCTTCTATGGTGGTTAGGGGTGGGGCTGGGGTGAGGGTTCTTGTGCAAGGTTTAAACATCCCCTGGTCCCAGAGGGAGCACCTATACTTCCTGATCAGGTCAGCACCTACCTTGGCGGCTCAGAATGACCCTGCCATCCTGGTTGGCTGTGGTGAGAGCTGAAAGGAAGCCTTCGATGTGCATCAGTGGAGAAGCAGGTCGTGGAGCCCCGGCCTCTCCTTCCTCTACTTGAGCTGCTACATTGAAGAGGAAACGTAGGGCAGGCTTAAAGCCCCTCTCCAGGGAAGACGGTCCACGTGTGAGGAGTGACGCTTCCTGCCCAGGGCCTGCAGCCTTGCCCTTCCATATCCTAACTCACCCTCGGTTACCCCGGGCTTCAGGCTCTGCAGGAAGTGCTGAAATCCAGTCAGCTTAGGGTGCTCCCTGGAGGAGGGAAGGACTGCTCCGTATCGTTCCGTGAAGCCGAAGAGCTGGATTGGGATGAGAGTGAGTGATGAGGACGAATGGACCAGTGGCTTTGCCAGGCCCCAGACACCTGAAACTTACTCCCATCGCCCTTCCCACCCGTGGATGTGGAGGAAACTGCAGACAAAGCGCCTCGAGTTTGACAGACAAGAGAGAAAGGCACTGTGAGGGCAGCCAGCAGAGGGGCTGTCGGATCCCTCTGCGGCCCAGGAGAATGAGGGGCGCACCTTCCTGCTGACCATGCTCTTTTCACAGTATCGCTGCACCTGTAAAACAAAACCCCAACGTAGACACATGTAAGAATCAGTCAAGCTGCAATCTAAATTTATCATCACCAACAAAATGATCATCTCCAACACCCCAGGGAGTAGGGCTCACTGCCATCTACTGAGGCCTCCTCTGAGCCCACTGTGTATGCTACTGAGGCCATGCCTCCTCCTCCTCAATCCACACCCAGGAGACTCTTCCCAGGAGACTCACTACATGCACCCCTCACAACCCTGCCTGTCTCTACAGGTACCCTACACACCTTAGGTCCCCTCTGCCTTCTTTCAAGGTGACAGCATCTAAGCTTAACCTCAAAGAATTAAGAGTTAAAAAAAACAAAAAACCACCACTCTATGACCAAACGTTTAGGTAACACTTGCACTTTTTCAGGGCAACTCTGGGTTACAATTTAGTTTTTCTGTACATGTTTAGAATTCTAAGATGATGAGTTTGAAAAGTTTTAAGGATTTCTTAAGTATGTCATCCTCCAATTAAGATTTACTAAATGGTATTTTATAAAACACATTAGAAGTGAAAAGGGAATGAAATTGAGAAAGCAGACAGGGGACGCAAGAGCAAAGGCACCTCTGCCCTGGCGAAGCAGCTGTGGAAACGAAAAGGGCACGATGAACCCACAAAGAATCCATGAGCTTTTAGTGAGGAGGAGTGGCTGACACATGGACACAGGAGAGAAGGGAATCAAAGATGTGACTTCCATTCCCAGCCTGAACGATCAGGGTCGCTACCACAGGGATAGTGGCCACAGTGGGGAAGTCTGGGGAAAAGCGCAGTGGCAGAATGAAAGAACCCAGCTCTCAAGTTGGTGCAGCTGGGTTCAACGCAGGCTCCGTCATTTACCACTTGTTCCTGTGTGGGTACTCGCTGCACGTCATTTTCCTGAGGTGACCTTTCTAAGCCCAGCTTACTGGGGAGCTACAGGCCCTGGCACAATGCCTAGAACATAGCAAGTGCTCTGTCAGTGAAGGCAGGTATTGTTATTTGTTGAGAATCACTCTTGTGGGGACAGTAGAGGTGGCCAGGTGGGGAGATCTGCACACAGCTCTGAGGCTGCAATTAAAGCCCATGGCTGGAGTGGAAAGGTGACAAGTTTCTCCGCTCCGACCATGCCCTCACCCACCTCAGCCCTGACACGGGGAGGATCTGGATCACTCTTATTAATCTCCTGCATCTGTCAAAAGCCTAGGAGAAAGCTGATGCCAGAGGGAAGATGAAGTAAGGCAGAGAAGAGGCCTGGGAGATACTTGTGCTTGCTAGGTGTAAAAGTGGAGTCCTGATGTAGCGTAGTGGGCTAATGTGCTGGACCACAAGATTGAGTTGAACCGCAAGGTCAGTGGTTCAAATGCACCAGCCACTCCTTGGAAATCCCTTACAGGGTTGTTATATAAGTCGGAACCGACTCAATGGCACAACAAGTATGAAGGTAGGCTCCCTCTCAGCCTCCTGTTCCCTTTCTGACAAGCTATGTCACACAGGGATCTGCTGCCATTCCTTCCTCAGTCTTACAATGCTCAGCCCACAGGTGATGGCAGGCATAGAGCGTTTCAAGTGCTAGCACAAAAGGAGAAAACTACCTTGAACAGATTGATGTTGTCGATCTGGCTCTGAAAGAGAAAGTCGTTGATGGTCTTCAGCTCTGTCCCTGAGGGCAAACACACAGAGGGCTTGAAATCCTGGCTCTCCAGACCTCAGCTTCCAGGTTTCAGGGTTAAACTGAGAGGGACAGATCTACTCTGGTCTGCTCAGAGCAATCCTCTTACCTGTCTGCAAGAGGCTCTGGGTGTTGGGATTTTGCTTAATGTTCCCTGAAAAACAAAAAAGTATTTCAGCATGTCAGGACAGTGGTTCCTCCAGTCACGCCCTAAGCCCCCCAAGAAACACCTCCCTGTCGTCTCACTTTACATGGTGTTCACCAAATAAGAGCACATCAACAGGAGTGTCTGCTTTGTGTTGCCACTCATAGCACCCAAGAACCTACTGAGAAGGGAGAAGGTTCCGGAGCACCTCACAGCCTGACCACCTGTTTGCACCTGGAGCCCAGAGACTGCCCTTTCCTTCTTCTACATCTCCTCTCAGGAGGCCGAGGCGGGGTGGTCCCCCACTTCAGGCTGGGTCATGGGGGCATACAGAAAGCAGCCTGCCGTGTGAAGAGCCAGTGGGAAACGTAGAGACAGAAGTGACAAGTACTTATGGGACAATCTCTCCACACAAATTCCCCAGTGGCTTTCTGGAGCTTTGTTGTTGTTGTCAAGTGCCGTTAAGTCAATTCCGACACATAGCGACCCTGGATAGGGTATCCAAGGAGCAGCTGGTGAGCTTGAACTGCCGACCTTGCAGTTCAAACAGCTTTGCAGTCTGGCGCATTTACCCATAGCGCCACACCAGGACTCCCTTCAAAGGGCTTTCCATACAATAAAGGAAAGGGTCTGTGGCACAGGGATCTGGAGCTAGAAAACCGCAGCCTCACCTTGTAGCTCCTGGACCATATAAGGCAGGTCAGTTGTCTGCCCCGAGCTTTCATTTTAATGTCCCCCACAAGATACCATGAAGGGCAATGTGCCTGGGCTGCTCTCCCAACAGGAGCAAATGAAACTGTGCTAAAGTGCTGTCCACCTGTCACAAAAAGTACCACATGGAGGTGGGATGCCAACAAGTCAGTTCTGACCCAGAGCGGCCCTGAATAGGATTTCTGAGGCTGCAAATCTTTATGGAGCAGAAAACCTCAACTTGCTTCCTGGAGCAGCTAGATGATTCGAAGTGCTAACCTGTGGTTACCAGTCCAACGCATAACCCCCTATGCTACTAGAGCTCCTTAAAATACTACATACCTGTATTATATTGTTAATACCACCTATGGTGAAGAGAAGGACCCAGAACAAGGGAAATAAACTAGGATTCTAACCAAAGGTTAAGGATCAGAAAACCCCTCTGAGTTATATAGAGCAAGACTTCCCTGAATTAATGACCAAGACGATCCTCGAGCACATCCAACAGCAGGTGTCCTAACTGGAGCTCAAGAAACAGAGCCGTGAGCTCAGCAGGCCAGGGGCTTGCATGTGGATGGCGCTCTTACCTCCCAGCACAGTCACGAACTTCTCCAACAAGTACAGGATCTGTTTGATGTACATCAGGTTCTTCGCCTTCAAACGCTTCCTGAGGAAAAGCCAAAGGACATCAAGTGGTAGGACTCCTGCTGTAACTTCCCCTGAAATTGCCCCAGGCGGAGCCCTTCCTGGCTGGTGCCTTTCAAGCAGTGACCAGCTACAAATATTCTCCCAGAGAAGGCTGGCTGTGACCCACATCCAGTCCGTGCCAAGCAGCCTGGGCCTCTGTGGGCAGCACCATGACGAACTGAGGAGATGGCATATTGGTCCTCTGTGCCCTCAGGCCGGTGACCCAAGTGCTTTCTCTACAAGGAGCCGAGAATGAGGATCCTTGAGACTCAGCGGGATTTTCCCTTCTACCTCGAGGGGCACCTCACCCGTATCGTTCCATATACTGGAGCAGCTGGGAATGGGCCTGGCAGAGCTGTGGAGAGAACACAGATGGATGAGGCAGTGGCCCTGGCTCTGGAAGAGCAGGCTGGAGTGTACCAGGGTACCTGAGGTAACACCCAGAAATGCCAGCCCAGGACACAAAGAGAAAAACCAAAGGGAGGACAGCGGGTCTAGGCTTTAAAGGAACATAGACTGAGAAAAGGGAAGGAGCCGGTTCTGGCAAAATGCCTACTATGGCTAAGGAAAAAGTCAAGATGTGAAACCTCTTTGATGATGAATCTCCTGCTAGTGTTCACTAAGAGTGATGGGTCAAGGTAACAATGACATACTAGCCTAAGGTCAACATCAGTCACTAGTCTGTAGAGGTGGGGGGTGGCATCTGGGCTTGAGGGCTAGAAACAAGCGGTCAATTCTGGCTCCATACTTATTTGCTGTGTGACCTTAGGACATCCCTCCATTAAATGCGCTCAGAGAAGTATGACAAATAGCACCTAAGCACGAGGGACCCTGCTTCCTTCATCTCACCCGCCTGGGTATGGAGAGCTGGTGAGTAACATTCTGGACTGGAGGGACTCGGGCAGACAGAAGCAGGGGACGAGCATGGAAGTGAGCCGCCCTGCCTGATGGGGCCCCATCATTCTTAGAGCGGTTGGAAAGCCACAACCACTACACCTTCTCCCAAGCCCGTCCTTTGCAGGGAACCAGGCCCTCAGAGGTCTACCTACCTGGGCGCCGCTAACCTCGGCACTGTGGATGCCAGTGATGGTATCAATTAGGTTGTGAGCCTCATCGATGATCACCACCTGGCCCTGCAGCCGGATGCCCGCAGCCTGCCGTGTGGCCGCGTGCAGCAGCATCTGGTAGGGCAGCACCACGAGCTGGAGGAGGAGACGGTGGAACCCTGAGCAGGGGTAGGACCCCCCTCACAGTAAGAGGTCTGTCTAGTCTTAAGTCCTGATGTGAACCGTTTCATTTCCTAGCTAGAAGATGTATAGTGAGAGTCAAGAGAAATCAAATGCACGGTCCTGTGCTTTTAGCAACAGACCCTTTCTAAAGGAACCCCAACTCATGCAAACACAAGTGGAGCTGCTATATCTGGGGTGGAAGGTATAGAAGGGTAGGAGACTGCAACCCTCTCTGCTTAGTTTCATTTATGCCCCCAAAGTACCTATTCCCTACCCAAGGTGTTCAAGGTCACTTCACACACTGTGAAAACCACTAGGTAACAGAAAACAACCTGGAATCTGGTCCTGGATCTGCCATTTCTCAGCTATGTGACTTTGGAAAAATCATATAACCTCTCTGGCCTGTTTCCACATCTGCAAAATGGACGTTTGCATTAAGGTGAGGGTTAGGGTTAGGTGGTGGTAGTCTGCTGTTTATCTGTTCTGACTCATAGCAATCCTGTAGAGGGTTTCTGAGGCTGTAAATCTTTACATTTCCCCCCCATGAATCCACTGGTAGATTCAAACTACTGACCTTGCAGTTAGCAGCCCATCACATAACCCATTATGCTACCAGGGCTGCTTAACAGTTCAAACCAACTCTGTGGCACTTAACAACAGTGTTGTTATGGCTCCACAGAATAAGCGCTGGACTGTGAACCGCAAAGTCAGTGGTTCAAGCTCACCAGCCACTTCTCAGAAGATGAGGCTTTCTGCTCCCATAATAGATTCCAAAGCCTTGAAAACCCTGTACACAGTCATTATGAACTGGAACCAACTTCAGAGCACTCAACAACAACAAACGGTGATATGAAGAGTTTTCAGTTAAATGAATACTGAGAACAACAAGTAAGACTGGGGACATAAGGGCCAGGCTGTAATCCTGGCTGCGTTCCTCACTTTCTTGGACCTCAGTTCTTCTGTGCAATGTGGATAATTGGAAAGTGCCTTAAAAATTCAAGATCATCAAGGGAGAAGAGCACGAGCAGAATGCAGGACCCTATCCAGAGAAGCAGCAACACCAGAGATGGAGAGAGGGAGCAGCTGAGGACTCTAGACTCATGGGAAGAGAGGAACTGAGAGAGCTGGTGGCCAGAAGGCATACTTGCAGAATGCGCCCTTTGGTTGTTTAAATTATCATATATTCTTAAGTGTGTTTGTGTACATCTTCCCACCCCCACAGAAACAGAAAAAGAGGGAATGTAAGCAAAACTGTTGAATAATGATGCATGGAGATTGTAATCACTGCAATGAAACAACAGTGTAAAGCATCGCAATGTTCTCCCATGTAAACGATCACTCAGTTCACTCAGTTCACAATAAAAAAAAAAAATCAAGGTCATAAAACTTTTAGTATTGTGCACATGTTCACCCAAAACACAGTAAAACATTAGTATTACAAAAAGCACTGTCAGTATATTTCATGATATCAGTGCCTAAGTGTCTAGCATTAAACTTGCTCTGTGGCACACAGGGTGAGGCGGGAGGTTTCCTATATTCACTGTAAGTATCCCCAGCCTCGCGTTCAGGGGAACACACAAAGGGCCCTTACCTCCCCTGTACAGTTAGTCCCTGTATATCCCCTGCACTTTACAAAGCTGCTCAACTTGCTTCTAGATGACACTCACGGCTCCAGGACTGAGCTCCAAGTCACTCAAATCAAGGAAGTGCCACCAAATGAGCTTCCATCTGGATCTCCCTCAGGGCTGTTTCTCTCTAAGCGGAACACTGGATGTGGCGAATCTAAAGGTGACCACTCTCGCCACGGCAGCATGTGAGTGTGCAAGTTGGGACAATCGATCTGAGAAGCAGTGTGGAAACACATCTGTGCTCTGGAGTTCCCTTTCGGCCTTCGCTCACTGTGGGGTCACCAAGAATGCACCCTCCTCCTAACTCCTATCACTGCCCCTCAACGATGCTCTGAAGCCCAGAGGCACTATGGGACCCAAGGGCCTCTTCCAACCCTATGTCCAAAGAGCGCATTGGGTTCTGTGCCATCAGAGTGCAGTGTGAGACTATCAGGAATAGTCTAAATACTGTGGGGGGTACCTCCCCACACCATGTCCCAAACCACTGTTAGAGCCAGGAGTTACTCCCCAGCCCCCTGGGGTCCTCACTTGGGCTGCAGGAATGGCAAATCGGCTCCCGTAGTAGGGACAGGCCTGTGCCTCCTTCCCCAGGGCCACCAGCTGCTCGATGTCCTTCACCTCCACTAGGACCTCATCCCGGAGGAGCTGCATCTGCTCGTAGTTGTAGAAGGGACAAGCAGCCTGGCCTTCCTGCCTTCTTCGCTTTGGCTTCTCTTCCTCTCCTTTGCTCTTCTTCTCTGAAGGTGGTATAGGCATGAGGGAAACAAAGGCAGAAAGAACAAAAACCTATGGGGTGGGATTTTGCAATGACAAGAACAATTTCCACAGGGTGGGGGCTAAAAATCCCTTCCAAGTACTGCTTGTACTGCTTGCTGTGGTCTCTGCAGCATTCTAGTACTTTACTTTGTTTGCTCTGTAAAAACCAAGGCAATCATCTCTAAGCCAGGGTTTTGCATTAGAATGACTCAAAAGCAAGGGGGAGGGTCTTTCAGCAAGAAACAGGGGGTTTGCTCTGCTATTATTTCTATTAAAATATCAATACTGGAAGATGGGCAGGTTTGGAAAATACCATTTTGATTTCCCCTGTCCCAGGTCCATCCCCACAGTGGTGTTTGGTTCCTTCGAGCCCATCCCATTCCCTTCCCAGTCCTGTCCCGAAGCCACATGACCACCCAGAGGCTCTCCTCTCCAACTCCAGGGTGATGGTACCATGCTTGCTTCTCTGCATCTCTAGGCAGCGGTCATTCATGAGCTGCGCAGAGCCCAGGCATTTCACATCTTTGTTCACACACAGGCTCTGCAGGACAGGAGAGAAAGAAAGGGTCCATGCAGGGCTGGCCAACTGACACACAAACCTCCTCCTCCTGCCCTCCCCCTCCTTCAAATGCCTCAGACCCATCTTCTTTCTAGACCTGGATGAGGAAAACAAAGGCCCAGGGAAATGGAAGTGGCTTGCCAAGCCAGGCAGCAGACTGGGACCTGGGCTGAGACACCCTGCTTCTGTTTACCTGCCGAGAGCCGAGGGAGACAAGTCGGGTTTCCCTGCCAAAAGGGCTCTTCTGTACCTCACGCACAAACTGGGCCAGCTGGGAGTGTGTCCGACTGCAGTAATAGATCTAGTCAGGGGGAGAGGGGATTTCAGAGACTAGAACTCTCCCATACAGTCTCCGTATATCAAGGAATGCCACCACCAAAGAGGCTGAGAGGGCTTGGGGCAAGCACCTCCAACTATATAAGAGAACTATGTGCCATAACAAACTTCATCTAATGAGGTCCCAGAGACTGCTCAACTCATCCTCAGCTCTAGAAGTTCAAGGAAATGCCCACAATGGTTAACTCCATTAGTCTTACTCAGTCTAGATTCCAACTGCTTCCAAGAGCAAGGTAATTTTCGGAAGGTGTATGTCCTCAAGTGGTGGTTCTTCACATGGCCATGACTCCTAACACATTGGGGAGTATGTGTACATATGGGGTGTGGTAGGGAAGGGTCATCTCACCAACAGCCCCCATAGGGTGTTGAGGATGGGCAGCCATAAAGCAGGAAGGAGGCCAAATAGTCTCTTTCTGCTCCCAAGAGTGAGAAGAGAAAAAGAGACAAAAATAGAAGGGGAAAAAGAAAAAACAAAAACAAAAACCAACTCCTACTATCAACAACAACAAAAACCTTACATGAATAAAACCAGTATTTTAAAAACAAACTTTGTGAAGTGTCAGAACCATACATGCCGTACAGAACTCCATGTCAATGAACATACAAATGAGGAGAAAGCTAATGTGCCATCAGTGGTTCAAAGGACAAAGAACTCTGACTGTCCTACACCCACACACAGCACCCCATACAATGGAGAGAGGCCGCTGAGTGGCAGGCCCACAGTGCGGTGACTTGCCCACATTCTCCCCAGAGGCAGAGAGCCCTGGACTCGGATCAGTCACAGAAGTAGCCAAGGACACAGCATCTTACCTTGGTTACATGCTCTTCCTCAACATCATCTTCCTCCTCATCCACTCTGAGAGGAAAAAAATCAATCAATCAAAGAAAAAAACATTTTTCTTCCCTCAGCAAATTTAACTCAAGTAAGAAAACATTTAATGACCACAGGTCACCTGCCAGCGAGTAGCCCTGGACAGTCAGTAAGAAACACAGAGATATAGTCCCTCAGAAGCCAGTAGAAATGAGGTTTGCACTCTGAAAGATGGGAGACAGACACATCCCAGCAATGAGGTACTGTTCCAACAGCAGATGTTCCCTTCTTCAGAAAGCACATACCCCCAAGTAAAAACCCACCCTGTCCTTCCAGTGATACCCAGGGATGCAGAACACAGGTAATGTGATGGGAAAGGAGAAAGGAAGAGAGCATTCCTCATCAACCCGTGTCCTAAACTGATGTTTGACTCAGTCAGTCTCTAAGGCTACCCTCCCTGCTTCCCACTGGTTTCCAGCAAACCTGACAAGTAGAACCTAACTCTGTATCACCTCAGGGGCTTTGAACAAGATGTTCTCCATCACTGGAATGTGCTCTCCCCTCACTTCCTCCCTCTTCATCTAGCAAACTCCTAATCAACTATGAGAAGTCAGTGTAACTAGCACATCTTCTGGGAAGCTTCCTGGATCTCCTAGCAGGTTCAGCTGCCCTATGATACACTCCCACAACACCTGGCACTGTCCTTGCAATGCCCATCTCATTCACTATCGCTTATTCTTGGTCTGTCCAGGGGGCGCCCAGAACCTGGCATAGCAGGAGCTCTAAACATATGTCCTGAATGAAGTCACAACCCACGGGCTAAGCAGATAACTGCTACTGCCATAGATGGCAAGACAGACCCTTCCTCATCTCAGTCCTGTTTGCCCTTTCTAGCAATGAGCTAAGAGCCCATCAACACTGGGATGCTGAAAGAGAGGTCAAGTCAGCATGGCATGGCTTCAAGTTTAGCCATCATCATGAAATTAGATTCCTCAGAAAAGAAAAAAAACCTTTTACAAGTATACTCTACCTATAGGAGCATCATATGGAGTGAGGTTTTGTTTGTTTTTTGCCTAGAAATTCAATGACAAATCAAGAAGGGAAAGCTAATTACCTGAGGCTAAAATTAAGAAAGGTTGTGTGATAAGGTTGTATTCTTTCACCATACTTATTCAACCTGTATGCTGAGCAAATAATCTGAGAAGCTGGGTTATAGGAAGAAAACATGGCATCAGGATTGGTGGAAGACTCATTAACAACCTGCAATATGCAGATGATACAAGCTTGCTTGCTGAAAGTGAAGAAGACTTAAAATAGTTACTGATGAAGAGCACAGCCTTCGGTATGGATTTTATCTCAATGTAAAGAAAACAAAAATCCTCACCACTGGACCAATAAACAACATTCTTATCAACAGAGAAAAGATTGAAGTTGTCAAGGACTTCATTCTTATTGGATCAACTATCAACACTCACGGAAGCAGCAGTCAAGAAATCAAATGATGTACTGCATTAGGCAAATCTGCTGTACAAGACCTTTTTAAAGTGTTGAAAAGCAAAGATGCCAGCTTGTGGACTAAGGTGCGCCTGACCCAAGCATGGTATTTTCAAGAACCTCATATGCAGGCGAAAGCTGGACAGTGAATAAGGAAGACTGTAGAAGAATTGATGCTTTTGAGTTACGGTGTTGGAGGAGAATACTGAACGTGCCATTGGCTGCCAAAAGAACAAACAGATCTGTGTTGGAAGAAGTGCAGCCAGAGTGCACCTTGGAGGCCAGGATGGCCAAACTTTGTCTCTCATACTTCTGACATATCATCAGGAGGGACCAGTTGCTAGAGAAGGATATCATGTTTGGTAGGGTAGAGGGTCAGAGAAAAAGAGGAAGACCCCCAGCAAGATGGATTGGCCAAGTGGCAGCATCAATGGATGGATTCAAGTGTAGCAACGATAGTGAGGTTGGCCCAGGATCGGGCAGTGTTTCGTTCTGCTGTGCATAAGGTCGCTATGGGTCGGTACCAACTCGATGGTACCTAACAACAACATGAGAAGAGGAGCTATTTATAAGGTTGGCTTCAGGGTCAACAAGGAACTGTTCAGTCAGCTGAGTCTGGAAAGCTTGGATGTAAATCACACAGCATGTGTTGAACAAATTCAGCAGGATCTGGTGAGTGGCTGGTGTGTGAAGAAATGAAGAGGAACAATGTCTTCAGGCTCCTGTCTCTCGCAGAGCATCAAAAGCTATGGAAGGAAATCTGTCCAGATCCTAAGGAGCACTCTGCTCCTCTGACATGCACAAACTCCACTCAAGTCCTTTACATCGTCCCCAAGAGGTTGCAGGGGAGAAATGAGAAGAGGAGGAAAGGGAATGCTGTCTTGGTGGCCGGTGGAAACGAGCATATGGACCATACAATGCTTGCCTGTATACCCCCCACCCAAGGATGCTGCATAAAGCTGTGTGGGTCCCTCACCCGCCAGACAGGCCATCACTTCCTTTCTTTTAGGGGTTCTGGGAAGTGCTTTAAGGAATAATAAGGAAGCAGGTCACTCACAGAGGATGAAAATATGTGAAGGAAGCAGAAACCTACACAACTATGGACCAATTTTATTTTCTAGAGAGTTTACAACAGACACTGGAGAAATTGGTGTAATCTTCCAGTATCTCCCATGGCTCTGTGGGGCTTGCAGGTCCTGCAGTCTTGGCTGTGACCGAGAGGACTGACAATGAAATGTTCATAAATTGTGAAGATGAGGTCTGTAGTTCTTTAGATGATTTTCTTTTTTTGGGGGGGTAGGGGTGGGTCACACACTCTCTTTTACCAGAAAAATACACCAGAATGCAAAATTTTGCAAATTTTTTCAATAGGGTCATAATCTATCCATGTATTCTTGGTTTTGATACTTCAGTGGTTCTGGAATTCTACGCTGGGATTGAAATAATCTGAGTCTGTTCATTCAACCAACTTGCATTGATCGTCCTTATATGCCAAGCACTAGGTCAGCTATGGTGATATAAAAATTTGTCAGGTGTGTTTCTTACACACCTCACCAGGTGGTCCAAGTTAACATCTCACCACAAGCCACACTGATAGTTTGTGTTCTTAATATGATATGACAAGAACAGCGCTTTACCTCCCCAAAACACATCACATAACCCGTCTAATCATAAGAATAGGAGGCAAATTCCAACAGAAGAACAGTCTACAACATACCAAGCAAGTCCTCCTCAACATATCAAGCTCATGAAAAACAAGGCAAGTCTGAGGAACTATCACATTCAAGAGGAGACCAGAGAGGCATGGTTAATGATGTAATGTGGTTACCCGGATGGACTACTTGCACAGAAAATGTACATCCGATAAAAATGAGTAAACTCTGATATAGTACAAAAAGAAGAAAAGATATGGCTCTTGTCTTGAAGAAACTCATCATCTAGTAATGGGTAAGAGAAGTAAACCAACCAGCTGACACCACACACCAGACTGTGGAGTGGAGAGAGAGTGTGGGTGATGGCCTGAGGCCGCAGACTGCCTTTACAGAGATAACATCTGAGCTGGGTCTTAAAGGAGGTGAAGACGTTTGCCAATGAAGGAGGGAAGGGCATCAGGGACAGAGGGAACACCAGAAGGGAAGCCTGCCCTTGGAAGAAGTCAGAGCAGCTGGGGTGCTGGATGTGTGGGGAAAGTGACAGAGGGAAGTAAGAGTGTGAGGGCAGCTGTGAAGGAGCGTCTGGCAGACAGGCAGACAGGCAGGGTAAGCACACGGGACACATGGCGCCAGCAGTCACCTTTGGAAGAACAGGAAAGACTTCTTCCAAGCTAAGCGCCTTTTGGTGTGAATGTCTAAGAACACTCATGCCTTTGGGGAAGAGCTGTTGAAAGACTGACCTTTTACCACCCACAAATCAGATCACATTACTCTCTGCCTCCAACCTTTCAACAGCCTCCTGCTACACTGAGAACCCTGTCCAAACACATAACTTCAGGAGTGTTTTGCCTCTGGCCTCTTCTCTCCCACTCCTTGTTCGGGCACCTGGGCCTTCTTGCTGGAGCACACCTGTCCCTACGTCCAGCTCACTCTCTTTACAGGACTCTTGTCATGGCTCCTCCTCATCCTGTAGACGTCTCAAATGTCACCTTCTCAGAGGGTCTTTCCTGACCTCTCCATCTACAGATGCAACCTCATACCCGATCCACTTTACCCTGTTTTATTGGTAAATATGCTAATTCCAAATAAGTCCTACTTGTGTTTACATATTTTGTCAGTCTTCACTACTAAAATATATGTTCTCTGAGGGCAAGGACCATGACTGTCCTATTTAATGCTACGTTCCTGGCATCTGCAACAGGGCACACCTACGATACTCAAAAGGTATTTGATAAGTTAAAGCCTGCATGAAAAAGGAGGCTCTCAGGAAGGGCAGTGTGAGGGCATCGGGGCCTAGTTGTCATCTTCCATATTTTCTAGGTCACTAGTAGGTCATAAAGGAGCTCTGGTAGCATAGTGGCTATGAATCGGGCTGCTAACCTCAGGGCCGGCAGTTCGAAACTACCAGCTGTTCTGTGGGAGAAAGATTAGGCTTTCTGCTCCCGTAACGATTTATAGCCTCGGAAACCCTATACAGGGTCGCTATGAGTCGGAACCGACTCCACGGCACATAACAACAACAACAAGCAGGTCATAGTTCAAAAAGGAGAGACCTGCAAAGCCACGAAAAACCCTGTGAGGCAGTTCTACTCTATAACAAATAGTCACTATGAGTTGGGACCAACTCGATGGCCGGTGGGTTTGGCTTGATTTTAAGGCTACCTTGACAGTATATGTCAGAAACTTTGTACCATGCAGCTTGGTAGCAAAAAGCATCCTGAGAACTAGGACCAGACTGACTGGGTTCAAATCCCAGCTCCCCCACTTACTAGCTCAGTGACACTGTCCAAACTATTTCACCTCGCTGTGCTATGGGTTGGTTCCTGGTGTGTAAAGTGGAGGTACAAACTGCCAATGCTGAACTGCTATGAGCACAGCGAGTTAACACCCGTGAAGCGGGCACACATGCTTGGCACAGAATAAGGGCTGGCTCTCACTGATCTCTGGTGGCACAGTGGTTGAGCACTCTGCTGCTAACCAAAATGTCAGTGGTTCAAACCCACCAGCTGTCCCTCAGAGAAAGATGAGGCAGTCTGCTTCCGTAAAGCTGTGCGGCCTTGGACACCTTACAGGGCAGTTATACTCTGTCCCATAGAGTTGCTATGGGTTGGAATTGGCTTGATTTGCGTTTTTATTTGGCTGTTGTCTTCAGTGTCATCATCATTTACACACAGTTGGATGTTCCTGGCTGAGTAAGGACAGAGCTGCCACCCTGTTCCATCAGATATCCTAACAAGTGAAATAGTCTCTCCTTGGGTGTGAGGGAAAGCGCTATCTTCCCAGGAGCGCCCCTAGAGGCGTGGTGCAAGGAGGTGGAGTGAAGGAGAAGCAGCTGTCTTACCCACTAGCTGCTGCTCTTTTCTCTTCATCACTCTCATATTCAGCCAGGACCAGCTCCTCCTCCCCAGATTCTAGCTGCTCGGCCCCTGCTCCTGCTGCCAACATCTCCCTGCTGAGGCGGAGGAGACTCTCCATTTCTTCTTCCTCCTGTCTCTGGAAGGGAGCAATGCCAGAAGGCAAGATCAAGAACTCTCACTTCACAATCAGCCTCCCGTGTGACATCTGCCTGGTCACATATGCCTCACGCTTTCCTGGAGAAGGAATTAATCTCCACTGTCCATGCCTCAGCTCAAGCTGCTCGACTCTGGATGATGAGAACTTAGCTAGTGAAGGTCTGGGGAAGGACACCACTTACACAAAGGAACTACACCAAGAGTTCCTGGTCTGCTGGGTCACCACCTGGCCCTCCAGAGGACACTCACCGCACGCTTGGTTGCATACTTGAGCTGTGCATTGTGACGGAGCAGTTGGAGGCGCTCCTCTCGCTTCTTTCTCCTGACCTGCTCCTCCTAAGGGATGAAGCAGCCAAAAAGGAAACCGAAAGTCAGGCCTTTCTAAAGAGTCTGGGCTGCTCTGCCAAGTGCTCTTCCTGGTCAACACCCAAAGTTGCTACAGTGCCTCCTCCCAGACCCTGAGCCTCTCCTGGTCCAGCCTCACTGCTCACTGTGGGAAGTTTGTATTCTGCCACTCAAAGCCACAAAGTCTCAATCAAACTCAGTCTTCAACGAGTTTGCAGTTACTGAGCCATGCTGGGCTGGGTTCATTTTCCAGGTTGGTAAAGAATGGGAACACCAACTGCTTGTCTACAGAAGACCTGTTTGAACATCCAGTTCAAAGAAGACAGCAAGGGGCAGCAGCATCCACTCAAGAAAATGGACAGGAGAATTAAAAGAAGATGCTTAGTCAAAGAAGAACACACTGTATCTAAGTTTCAGAACACAACCTCAACTCTTCATTTCAGTGATGTTTCCTAGCGCAGGCCCATTACTTCTCCCCTCTTTTGTAGATATTTTCTTTTTATTTATTTAGTGCTTAGAAGTTGCTGCTCTGGAGCTGTCAGGTAAGCACTGGGCTACTAACCAAAAAAACTGATGGTTCAAACATACCAGTTCCTCCCCTTGTAAACCCTACATAAGGTTGGAACCAACTCAATGGCAGTTGGAACCAACTCAATGGCACTTAACAAGAAAATACATCATAACAAAACCTTCCTAATTAAGTAAAAAAAAAAAAAAAATCATTATAAATGTTAGAAAAATTGGCCATTTATACAAGCACTAATATTTGCCAATCACTCTGCTGTTCCCACTGTTTGCTGCCCCAGACACTCATCACCTTGAGACGGTCCACCAGGTCCCTTTCTTCCTTCTTCTGCACAAACTGAGTAACCCAGTCAGGCTCTCCAGCAGGCCTAGGGGCATCTGGGGTCTCTTGGCAGGAGGGTGAGACAGATGGAGGCTGGACCCTCCTATCATTTAAGGGGATGGTTCCAGTTTCAAGGAGACGGGCTTCTTCTTGGCACTTCTTCTTTTCAAAGTCTCGGAGCCAGGAGAGAGCCCCACAAATAAGACTTAAAGATTTCCCCTACAGGGTAAAAAATTATTTTCAGAATTAGAGGGCAAAACAAAGGCTCCCAAATGACCTTTTCCTACTTTGAAAAACCCTTCACAATAGTGTGGCTTTAAATGCTAGAGGATGCTCAAAGTCCAGCTTGAGAAAGAAAGGAGTCACTCAAAGAACAGGCAGTAAAGTGAAAAGAAGTATGAATAGGCCTAAAAGGCAGGAAAAGAGCATCCGCATTTACCTAATTATGCAGCTCAGTCTCTGGAAAATAATTTAAAGTGGTTTATCAGGTTACATAAAAGGCAAGTTAACATTAATGGAAGAAGGTGAAAAATTAGACAAATAGAACCCCAGAATAATGAAGGTCACAAAACCCCACACAGCATGAAACCTTATATACCTGCTAAGCAAGGAGAGCACAGATTTAGCCTTAAGCTTTAGTGCAGCCAATGTGCAACTTGTACAAGATCAATCACATGAATCATAGTGGGGACACATCCCTAAAAAATGTAAACCAACTGCTCTGAAAGACCTGGAAGAAAAGGAGCTCCGGTAGTGTAGTGGTTACAAATCAGGCTGCGAACCGCAATGTCAGCAGTTCAAAACTACCAGCTGTTCCGTGTGAGAAAGATGAGGCTTTCTGCTCCCGTAAAGATTTACAGCCTCAGAAAACCTGTACAGGGTCGCTATGAGTCAGTTGTGACTCCACGGTACATAACCACCACCACCACCATCCTTACAGCGAGGACATGGGAGTGAGTTTCACAAGGTTGCTTCCTCAGTGCCAGAAGGACTTTCCACGTAGGTGAGTCACTGTGAGGCCAACAACCTGGTCCAGGCAGTTAGTTGACACTGCTTACCCAGAGCATCCAGAGGGGAGTACTGACCCTCACCTAGTACCAAATGAACTGTAGACAGAATGATATGTATACTCCTATGTATTTATGAGGCGTGAACCTAGGAGCACAGAGGTAAAGGTTAAGGTCAGGCTGCCTGGGTCAAACACTGGTTCCTCTGCTTACCAGCTCTGTGGGTTTCCACATGTATGAAAGCTAATCATAGTACCTTCCTCAGAGAGTTGCTGCAACCATTATGTTACACACTTAGAGGCTATTATCTACACCAGGATTAGAAAAGCACATAATAAGAAATTGGCATTAGCTACTATCAAATAGCTCTGGTAGCGACGTGGTTACAAATCGAGCTGTGAACCACAAGGTCAGCAGTTCGAAACTACCAGCTGTTCCGTGGGAGAAAGATGAGGCTTTCTGCTCCTGGTAAATATTTACAGCCTCAGAAACCCTGTACAGACTCACTATGAGTCAGAATCGACTCCACGGCACATAACAACAACAACAATTAAATAATAATAAATTATTTGATAGAATTATTATTGGCCTTGCATAAGGGTCCATAGCTTTCACTAATAAAAACATAAAACATTAAAAAAAAATGTTTATGTTTCTTTATTGGAGAAAGATTTCCGACCAGTACAGTGATATATTAACTAAATACAGAGACTTGTGCAAAGAAACTACATATTAACCCAGCCAAACCATTTCTTGTTACACTTTGTCTCTTGATGGAATAGTTTCTTTTATAAAGTTTTATACATCAAAAGCTTTGAATTTGCCCAGGTTGGCCACTGCTACATCTCTGAAAAAAACGAAGTGGCATTGATTTAGTTACTGTATTTTACAGCATTTAAAAGCTAATGCACAGACTCCATCATCTCACCCAGCTTCACAGGAGTCTCATTAGATAGCGTTATGCTAGTTATGCTAGAGCTGGTACTGAGACAACAAAGTACTCCTGAGTACAACACTGAGTGCCAGTGAAGACATGCCAGCAATGCCCTGCGCTGACTTGACATTAGAGCACCAGATCTGATGGTGGTGGCAGGCACTGTATCATGAGCTGTTTTGTTGTTGGTAAGTGCCACTGAGTCGGTTCCAACCCATAGCGACCCTGTGTAGGGTTTATGAGTACATCCACATAAATAAGGGCCCATATTTTAAATGCCAATTTGAGATGAAGGCAAGGATACATATACTAAGAACTGAGTTTTGCACAAACTAGTATTCCCCAATGCAAATTCTTTTCAAAAAATGAAGGCAAATTGTACCCAATGTTTCCCAGCTACAAAGTCTTAAATATTTGATTCAAATTCCTTTACTCAATCCACATAGCCCTGAGGTCATCCTGTAAAGTGCACTACCAAAAAATCCAGAGTTATGGTGACAAAGTTTGACAATGATATGTTATAAACAAGTCAAACTTGGGTATCTTTTATCTGTTTTGAGAGAAAAGCATCAAATCATTTGTGTACACATTTAGTATTATTGTAACAAAGCAACTTGCACACTTTTAACGTTTAAAACTGAGCATCATCTTTCTTTTCCAGTGAAACTAAAAGAATTAAAAAAAAAATAAACAGGAACAAAATTACAACAGAAATGTCAATTCCAAGTTAAGATCCTACAGGTTCTGCTGATTCTCCCATCGAGTGGCAGGGCTTAAGTCACCATTAGGAGAGAATTTTATTTTAAAAGTGTCACCTTAAACTGCAAGGACGTCCGTTAAACATCAAAATTAAACATGCCAAAGGAGAAGCCATATTGTCAAAACGCCTACTTAACCCACCCAAACATCTCAAATCCACCCTTTGCTGACCTTCTATAACCCCATTTAAAAAAAACAAAAAAACAAAAAACAAGAGCAAGTAAACAGATACATGTTGGTAAATGCTAACTGTCCATATTCACATAGAGACAGTGTAATCTCTGAGCCCAATATCCAGAGAAAGACAGAAAGAAGCTAGAATTCTCTGCACTACTACCCAGGGGCCTAGCACCCTCCAGCTTCCAGCAGAGTGAAGGGAACAGAAGGTTTTCTTTTTTCCCACAGAGCACAGTGGTGTGTTGATTCCATAGTTTTGTTGAGACAGGAAGGGACAAAAATTAATTTGGGAACAGAAAGGGGTAGAGATTCTTTTCCCACTGTATCTGCTCAAGATATTTACCTCCCAAAATAAGTTGACAGCCATGGTGTAGGAGAGAAGAGAGATTCCAAGAACAGGGCAACTGAGCACAAGAGAGGAAAAAGGAAAGAAAAGAAATAAATAGACTGCAACTTGCTCCCAGGGACTGAAGAAAATTTAACTAGGTTGGAATCCATCATTGTTCTTATTAGTCATTTTCTCCTTCATCGTCCTCTCCCTCATCATCATCTTCTTTCTTCATCAATATCTTCCAAACCTTCTTCATCATCACATTCGTTTCCTTCCCCTTCTTCATCATCCAGGAACCAAATAGTACTGTAACGGATTTAGCCAACTATCATCTTTGATGACCTCTCCTAACTCATCTGCATCAAAATAATCAGTAAACCAGGTTAAAAAGCTCTCTGGTTCTTCATGCTGCCTCTTCTGCTGGCTTTACTCTGTGTTTGATTTGAGCATTTTGTCAAGTCCTTTCCAGATTTCCATTTGATTTCAAGGATGGATCACCACTCTAATTCAGATGAAATTCTTTGGAGAGAACGTTATTTTCGAAGTAAGGATTTTCATCAAAATAAAACTTTATTCTGTAACCTGATTTAATATCTTCAAATTCTGTCATTTCAACTCTGGTCAAATAATGCAGTGCCTCTTCATCCTCCTCCCCAAACCAATGCAGACACTGTGGGTGGTTGACAAATGCGGTTACCCAAAAGTCTGGGATTTTGGCTATTCATTCTGACCTCTTCTGAAAAACGCTGGTGGAGTTTGTTATATTTCTGTTCTACTTTCAAAATCTCCTCACTGGCTTGTTCATTTAGTTTGCTTATTTCATCTTGTACCTCATCAATATGTTTCAATTGCTTCCTGCTGTTCTTTTTCTCCCTTTGGCAAGTTCAGAGAGGCCAGTCTCCTGCAGCTTAGGTTTCTTCACTTGAGGCAGGAGCAAAGACGAAAGTCTGGGGGCGATGCTGTAAGCACAATCCAAGAAGCAAAGGAAAGAAGAGTTGCTTGCCAGGAAAAAGCTTTCACCACATTTTTTAAGGACCATGTGGCAAAAAGACAATTCTGATGGATTACTTATCTTCAGAAATGGCCCTGCACCTACCTTTCCCTCAGCTGTTGAGAGGTACTAGATGGCAGAACTACACACAGTCCTCTCCAGAAGGACATGAGGGCAGCCATTCTGCACTATGAAGGAGGAACAACCCGGTAAGCGGTCACGAAGCTAGAGGCAGGTGAGACCTCCCTGTAACCATGCCCTGGGACTAATGCCTGGTTAGAGCGCCAGCACCCTCACCCTCCACTGGGATGGGTCGACAGGTTGAGGTTCTCTTCGGAAGATAAATGTAAGCATACTCTAACACACAAGGGATAATGAAGGCCCCAAGTTTTAGGTCCGGAAACTGGCAGGAATATAGCACTGGTCTGAAAACGGAAATTTCCTTGAAGGGATAGTTAAATCCCCCTAGGTGACTATCCCCACTCGCTGAGAAAGACAGGAAGTTTATTCTGTGGGGAAACAGTCTGAGAGAGCTCTGGAGATGAACTAATAGCAGGGCATTAAGTGAAAAACTACTCACCTCAAGCCTCTGCCCCAAAGCCCATCACCTTCACCAATACTGGCTGCCAGGCACGTGCCAACTGGTAAGAGTGCAGAAGAGGCTTCTCTGCAGACCCAGAACTCCAAGGAAACTCCTACAGATACTGACACCTGGAGGTCCCAGCAAAGAAGCCAATCCACTAATCCACAAACCACTGACTTTTCAATCAGCCCTTATTCTTAAATACAGGCAGCCAAGGATCAAATGTATGTATGTACCAACCACCAGTCTATAAAGTAGCTTATTCTTAAATACAGGCAGCCAAGGATCAAATGTATGAATGTACCAACCACCAGTCTATAAAGGCACGAAGTGGCTGGCTTACAAGTTTTCATATGGGAGTTTAGTTTCAGAGTGTGCAGGGGAAAGTAGAATCCTCACTGAATAATTTTAATCTAGTCTAGACGGGTCTGGTAAAA